ATAAATAATCAGCGCTGAGAGGAAATTCTATGACACACCATGTGTGTCACACAGTGCAGAACGTGTTAGGCTGCGTTCATACTTTGCGTCAGCGTTTTGACCGTATGCCCTGCGTTTTCAGCGACTGCCGCGAAAAGTTTAGAACTACCTGCGCCTCGAAACCCTGGCGTACGCTCAAAACGGTGGATCGATATCTATATTGTCTTGGTCGCTCGAAACGCTGTCATACGCTGGCGCACGCTAGATCGATACCTTCACTTTCCTAGTCTCTCAAAATGCCTAAAACGCTGTCGCCCTCTCAAAACGCTGCTGTATGCTCAAAACGCTGACGTACGCTCGAAACTGACGCGAAGTATGAACGCAGCTTTGAATTCAAACGCTTTTCGCAAGCTCTCATCCACCATTCAGCTTCGGGACTTGTTTGGTGCTTTTTCTCTAGGATGTCATTAAGCGTTTGTGTCGTGAAATTGTTAATGCCTGGGTTTCAGGTTAAAATTGAATCCCTCAAGCCTGGTGAGTACAACACCTTGTTTATGGTCAATCTTGATGGCAATCCTTATGAGAAAGAGGGAGAAGTCGCTCACTGGATTGTTTCCAACATACCAGATGGGAAAAGCGTCAAGGATGGGGAGGAGGTAGGGTCTTTATCCGATATCTGGAGATTTCAGTACTACTTTACAGTTTTTGATGTCGACACAGCTCTCATGCGGCTTGACATTATCTACTGCTTTATGTTTGTAGGTGGTACGGTATCTTCAGCCGCTCCCATTTTGCGGCTCAGGTTATCATCGAATAGCTTTCGTCTTGTTTCGGCATGAAGAACCACTGAAGTCGTTACAGTTGTTCTACAGGTGAGGATGATATGGCTTGACAAGATTCAATGGGAGTGAATTGGTGCCGTTACTATTCATACAGGGGGGGGGCAGACTGTCTGCCTGGGTATGTGCTTTGAGGGCAACTCTGCTGGAGGCTAGTGTAGTTGCGGGAGCAGGGCCCATCATCGGGATCTGTGAAGTGGCAGTGGTTGTACGATCCACCCCCCCCCCCTTTAAAAGGAGAGTCTTCCATTGCTTTTCACAATCCAGGCGCCCCCCCCCCACCTTTCCTCAAGATTCTTGCATCGGAGGAGGAGGGTGGGACGTTTGTCAACAATTACACGAGTTCTTTTGGCACGCCACCGCACTAAGGGAGGGGGGGGTGTGATACAACGAGCTGAAACGAAAATATTAGCAACGCTGAAGCAGTTTCCAACGTCTCTGAATGATGAGTGCATGCCGGGGAATGCGCATGGTAACGCGATTCCAATCGCGTTCGCTGCGAATCGATGGGGCGTGTCATGTGGATGGGTGTGTCGCGGCGACAGCCCGTTTTTTCCTTTGGTAAGCGATGAGACTATTATATCATTCGTGTCGGTCGTTCACCCCCGGTCATAGTCGTTTACCGCAGCTCTTCAATACTGGTGTAGGCAGGCGGTGTTGCTAGACCCTGTCTCCACTGACCCACCACAGCACTAGCGCGCAATGAACAAGACTGTCTGTCCCATGAGACAATATCGCGTCTATTTACTTCTGTGCGTACCATTAAATGGAGGTCTGGGGAAAGGAAGGGACGTCGGCGCCGGCCACATGCCCCTCCATATAAAAAAAAAAACGTCAGGCGTATCATTGCTAGGTGTTGAATCAGTTCTTGTGAACTGAAGGTGGGCCAGAAAAGTTCCGCATCTTGCTCTCACCCTTCGTTGTGGCCAAACATATTTTCTTGGGCAGTACTGAAAATTTTTTCATAAAGACACTTAGATTTGAATGTGGGCAGGTATCAGCACAGCGGATGAAATAGTTTTGCGAATGATATGCGGATACTTTCAGCGACACTCTTGCTGGCCGAGTTTTCTCGATGTCTAGTTTGTAATAATAGAACGAGGACGTAATTACGCCCTTCATGTGTAATGTTTTTCCAGACGACTTATGATATTTCGGTAAAGAACCAGTTACACAAAATGGGTGAGTGAACTGATAATGTGACTTTTTAATTACTTTTACTTTTAAGTAACAAATTACTAGCTCTGAAGGGTAGAAAGCTTGGTTGGCGCGGGCAAGGAGATGATCCAAAACTTGACTGCTAGACCGCGCGCGTGGTAAGGTGAAGGCCTTTTGCCATTGCACCTTTACCGCCTCAGTGTAGCTTTTTAGTAAGTTTGGAACATTATACTGCTTTCCTGAATTAACTTTCCTTTTCCCCTGAAAATGCTTCATTTGGGTACTTGTGAGTGTTCTCGCTTTATCTCTGTCTACCTTAAGAAATATATGTTGCAGGGCTGAAATCGCCAATTTATCAATATCAGTATAACGAAGCTTTGAAACCAGAACAGAAGGAGTTCCCTAAGAAGCCGCAACCATTTGACTTGTGAGTTTTTTACAGGAGAAGACTTCTTTTGGTTCTCTTCTTGACTTTTTCCCTCGAACAACAGGGAATTCTATGGGGTTCATTCCGAATATTCAGATATATGGATATGTACCGAGATCCTAAAGAAGTAGAACAGGAGTTGTTAGAAGAAAGATTGCGACGTGCTCAACTCGACGATTACCAGGTATGCCTGGATGGTTTTTCCTTGTTTTATTTCAGGATTGATTGCGGTCTTTAAGGCACCGAAATGGCTGGATCCAAATTATAACGAGAACAAAATGGAGCTCCCAGCTTGGCAACATCGTAGAATTCTTGGCAAGAGAAGGACGGTATCGAGCACTTTATAATAATGCGTTGAAATCGTGACCGAGCTCTTACCTCAACCACCCCTGTAACTGATTCCGCATGGTTCAGTGAGATATGCTAAAACTATTGATGTAATTTAAATGTAATTAGGATCTTTATGTCTAGAGATTACAATGTATCAATTAGGAAATTTAGGATTGAAGTTTATAGAAAGTTCGAAGTTTTCTTTGATTTGATTGTTTGAATTCATGCTCATATATTGTTGATTTTTGATGTTACCAATAATACAATGCTACTGTTTGAATTCATAAAGTTTTCATAATACATTAGAATGTCCAGCACTAAAAGTTAATACTATCCCAAAACACAGTTTTTTTTCCTGAAACTTTGCCCAGACGGGTAATTGGGTGCCCTGATCACCAACACATTTGTTTTTGGCGCTGGCGCCGTTTGCTATGCAGATCTTTAGGCTCACAACATGCGACAGTCCGCAGAAATTGCACGAATACACTCCATATCGCGACGGTTAGGAGGGCGTAGCTGCGCTCTTCATTTGTCCATGGAGTAGGAAGCGTTTTCGTGAGATATTTCCATTTATGACATCTGTCATCCTGTCTTCTACTGGACAACGACTTGATTACAATTATCCTAAAGCGGAAACAAGCCACCGGCGCAGCCGCTGTCAGTGAGACACGAGGCCACGCCCACTCCGACCTCGTGGTATGAAGTGTACCTAGACGGCGGTAAGGGGAGGAGTGTACGGATACTCCCTTGCAGTGAGGCTGGGACATCTGTCAGGGACAGGCTGCTTGACTCTGGGCCAAACTATTGACTTTTATTCCTCGGCTTCTCCTCCATTAGGTCCCACACCGAAAAACAAGTGGCAAGCACGGCTGTCTACGCTGCGGGTGAAAGCGTGGGGTCAGGCGGGATGTATTTGGCAAGAGGTCAAACCCGTTCTCCGCCGGTTGTTAAAGCGGGTGACCGGCAAAAATTGGTGAAAAACAACTGATACGACGATATGGTACGGTGGTTCGCTTCAACAAGTGGTGGAGAACGGGTTCGGCGTCGCGTCAGACCCATCTTGCCAGCCACACCGGTCGATCTTCATGAACTATACGTCCTTGTTTCATGGACATAACAAAAAAAGTCGCTCGTGCAATAGCAAAGTATTTATAGATAAAGCTCTTAAATCTGCGAATATACCCCTAATGATCACTTCAGAGATTCGGACCACTTGCTACAGTTACCAGTCTAATCGATGCGTATCTGAATCACTAACATTAAATCATGGGACCCCTTGAAGGACGACTCAGTCCTTCCCAGTACTACACGCTTGCGCTTTTTGCCATGATTCTGCCGCGAAACGGAGGACGGAGGACAGATACACTGCAGATCCCTGCGATGGAGTGGGCGTGGCTGCGTCCTTGAACATGACGCAGGATGCGTTGTTCCTAGTATATTTCCATTCGATGCAAGTGTTGTACTACCTTGTACCGGACAAAGTCCTGGTTGCAAATGTTCTGAAACAGCCAATATTCCTTCCAGAAGCGCGTTGCTGCCACGTTTACACTAGTACGCAGTCACGGACTCTTTTGCTCGGGGATATGGAGTGTAGAATGACAGCGGCTTTCCGAGTATCGATGGGCGTTTCAAGAGTGGGGATCGATGCAGTTCAGGGATTGAGTGGAGGCAGCTCGATACAGGTCAGCACTAGGTGTACAGTCGTTCAGTGTCCTGATCGTGCTGCTTGTCGGATCACCGGAATTGCAAGCTCTGAACGCGACCCAAGATCAGGGAATAGCGGAGTTTGGTATCGAATGAACACATTAAAATAAATAAATTAAAAGACACAAAAATCTAGACAACTGCAGCTAAAGTAGTGTTCAATCCGTCCATTTCCATTTCGACTGTTTCCAAGATCTGAAGCTCTTGGGACGGAGTTGTGGTAGTAGTGGTGGTCGTAGTAGTAGTTGGTGTTGTTGTTGTTGATGATGATGTTGTTGTTGATGACGTTGTTGTCGTTGCCGGCGTCTCGTCGTAGGGGGCGTCGAATCGTGCTCTTGCATCTACTGAAATGGTGTCCTTTAGTGGTTCAAGCAGTATGTGGCTAGTCGGTGTGTTGAGGGTAAGGGGCGTTGTTAGCACTCGAGAGGCCCGTGGATCTAATCCCTTCAGCTCAACCAAACACAATATGCACGGCTAATTCCTAGAGAGATTCTCTTGAGTAACAACTATACCTGGGTATCGGTCAGTCTTGATCCCAAAGTTGGCGAAATTACAATGGTTCGTATGTGGTAAAGGGATGAAACAAGTCATCGTTGTTATTAGTAGTTTTTCTAAATATGTCTATCTCTGTACACAAACGCGACCTCCGCGAATGCAGTACATGGCCCACCCCAAATTCTTATGAGGTTGGCTGTCCGTAGACGGAGAAGATATGTGAATTGCGTGCTGAGATAGTGAAAGTCTGGTAACCCATGTGTAGCCGAGAAAACGTCTTTGCAGGAATGGGTCGTGGGTGAGTGGTAGGGTAATGTGTGACACAACCATACATTGCTCCGTGACACATTGATCGAAGCCGAGAACTCTTCTGCTGCTGATGGAGCAGATGGCAAGTTTCTACTGTTCACTTTCCGAAGGTATTGCGGGGGGGGGGTGAGTGGCTGCCTAAAGACAAACTGTACACTCCCCTCCGATCTTGACATGAGTGAGACTTCGCCTATACTCACGTTATACTCAAAGTGCAGCACTTGCGTTGATACCATGGTTCTACAGCGAAACTTGAGCGGCAGAGAACATCCAGAAGTGGGGGACGCAGACAAGTAGTGGGTTTGGCTATGATTAGGCGTTTAGCTAGCCGTGCGGCGGCGCGGGTGACTTGTGGGGACGGCACCCGGCTACCACTACAATCCTGCCCCGCTCCCGAGTACTTTTCCCGTAGAAAATGGCAGACAACTGCAGCTTCGAACCCATTCTCCAAACAGGACGGAATTCCGCACCCCTGAGCGAGCGCTGTGTAGCGCCTTTTTAAAGGCAGTTGGCACGATAAATCCCTAAGACGAGTAGGATTAATACGCCTGGCAGGACGGAATTCCGCGACCCTGAGCAGGCGCTGCGTAGCGCCTTTTCCAAGGAAGGTACCCTTATAAGGCCCTATCAAGCTGCAACATACCGACCCGGACGCCCACCGCGCCCGCCCGCCCACAAATGGACGACCGTACCTGATGCTCGTATTGCTTCATTTGCGAAGTAAAATATGAAGCGAAGGATTGATATGAAGCGGCCGCGGTGCTGCATGGATATATGAGTACATACGTGCAGTCGTATCTAATAGCGGTTATTGGCACGATGCCTACGGGAAACTCGTCCGAAATTGCTTTCTGAGTCATGAAGAACGAAGGCTTTTCTTCGCAGGTTTTTGACCGTTTCACTTCGTTTTTTCGCCATTTTCCTACTATAAGGCACCCTGTTAGCATTTTAGACCGAGTACCAAACTATCGAGCCATACGCCTTTCAGGTATTTTCGACGAAATTTCTCTGTTTTTTGATTGGCCAATCAGCTGTCATCCACGATTCCACGTTGGATCCACTGCCCAGTGAATAAGTGTGTTTCGAATGAAGGACGCTCTGCCTCCAACAGGGCTGAAGTCTGTTGTCCACCTTCAGCGTTTGTCCGTCACAGCTAATCATGATTTCTGCACCTTTAACACATTGCGGACCGCTCTGCTCGCATCTCGGGATCATTTCACTCTTTTTCATCAGAGATTCCCCCCCCTCCCCATTTTCGAATCGTTTGTGAGATTAGTATCTTCCGTTATTGGGAACGTGTTTTGACAACTTCAGAACATGAATGAAAAGCCAAATTAATAAAATAAAGCACCGCATAGAGACAAAATCATGACACACCATGTGTGTCAGGCGGTCCGGAACGCGTCAAAGGAACTGCGCCCCAGAGGCACTATTGCATCTTCTTCACTATTCTCGGGAATCTTTACCGTAACCTATAGACCATAGAACTGTCCACCTACTAAATAAATTAGAATTAGATAAAAACATGACCCTTACCATAGGTATATTCGAATGTGAGCGAAATTCCAATATTTCGTGACGTCACGATGAATGGGACAACATTGGTTCTGGACAAAATCCGTCGCTGGTACGCTTGCTGGCAGCAGAATCTATAAAAAGATCAGTTTCTCTCGAGCCATTATGAATACGAACTCATCCTCCTACCTGTAACCAACAAGTCGAACATCGTGTGCCATTTTGAACTCGACCCCGTCTTCCCAGCAGCCTTCAACGCATCTTCCGTGCACTTGGACAATATTTACCAGTACTCGTTTTCCTGGAGGAGCCTGAAATAAACATTCATTGGAATTTCCATTTCTTGCATTTATTGTAATTTCCTCCTGGACGACGAAGTTCTCGTAGTCAGAGCACGTCGTGTGTTGGAGAATCCTTAAGAGGGGAGGGGTCGTGTCTGTTCGCTGGAAGGAGGGGGATGTAGCTGCTTTCGAGAAGAATTTTCCGTTTTCTTTCCGTTTTCCTGGTGCCCCCATGTTGGCGGCGAACTGCTATAGAGCCATTATTGTCGGAAGTTAAAACTAATAGTTGGTTGGTGACGACCTCCCTCCCTTAGACCAAATTGAGGAGGATGTCGTATTTTCCGAGAAGCTTCCCAGCGGCAAGACGTGTCCTGCTTGTAATTGTAAGGCACGCAACTAATACTGCGCTTGATTCAGGAGCCAAGCCCGAGCAAATAAAGCCTTCTGTGTCTCTAGGGTCGGTTAATTGGTGTCAGACCTGTATGAGAGGATAAAAATGCAAAGTTCAATATCTGCCCAACTAATGATTCAGGCCAACGGATGAGTGGTATTAGGTTGTACGGAAAGTTCTCAGCATTTTGAGTGTTTCACTTTGAAACGATCATAACTTTCTTAATACTCATTGGATTTAATCGAAATAAGCACCATTCGAATCAGCACACTTTTGCCAATGTGACAGCGCAGTTGACTGACGCAATTTTCGGTACATTTCGTCGATTTCTTCACAGTAGGACTCTGCTGTTATGGTTTGGCCTGGTGACAAAGTTGTATTGTAGTGGCATCACATCAGCCGCATGAGCACCACTAATTGTGAACGGCAATTATACCATCAGATAGCGCAAAAATCTTTCTTCAGGATGTACTACTGAGACGCAAGGGAGAATGAGTTTTTAATCAGCAATGAATGTACAAAAATAGTAACACAAAACGCTGAGAACTTTCCGGACAACCTAATAAGATTTAAAGAGTAGGATATAAGTAGAGGCCGGCCCTTAACTACTATGTGAGTGGTTCCACTTCACTGTTTACTTAGTTCTTATTTTATTATCGAAAAGTTCTATACCTTGAGGTGGTAGAAACATTGTTTTTGTCCGCTTCTGACCGAAATTTGTTTGATAGTGATGTCAAATCGTCGAACGGCTTCGTATGCAGTCAGTTCACCGCCGCAACCTTTTGAGAACGATGGCGGTATCTCATTGCACAACTGGCCACCGAAACCAAGTGGGCATCTAAACAACTCAAGGTATACTTATTCATTGGTACAGTACGGGTCTTGTAGCGTCTAAACAATTCCGTTCAGGGATTGATGCATTAAGCAACATTTACAAACAGCGCTCCTCACACACTTTAAACAGCTCCGCAGTTTCGGTAGCCTCTTAAAGACACATAGTACGCTCATCACATTGAGGGTGTATGAGACTATCAGCCCCCCAGATGTCGATGTGTCGTGGTCCCCCGCCCAAACATGCCCAGGAATGGAGATACAGGGCCGTGAAACACGCTAATTCTTCCATGCTCCGCCCACTGCCTTTTTACGGCGCAGATTCCCGCCGTTGATAACATCCGTTGCAAGCGCGCCTGTCGCGTGCGGCTCCTTGGCACTTTGCCAAGTCCTTTAATTGCGCTCTCAATACAAGGAAAACGCAATTTCCTGATGCGGATAACATTGGAGGTGCTACAAAATAAGAGCAGAAGATGATGACGAGGGTCAGAACCTAAAAGCGACTGTGCCACTTCTGCAACATCCCTCGGAGGCCACGTATTTCCACGAAACATGAAAATAAAAAACGGCATACTCGTTAGTTTAATACAAGCAAGACGCAATTTCCTGATGCGAATAAAATTTAAGGTGTTGCTCATGCTTCAAAATCCATGTACAAGGAGATGAAGATGACACAGGCTAGAAATGAAGCACAACGATGTAAATGTAAACAAAACAAAAATGAAAAATCAAGGAAAGGCAAATTAGATAAACTGGCCTGTAAATTTCTACGATCCGGCGCCAAAGCCATAGAAATACTTAGAACAAACGAGTGGGACGCTTGGGCTGTTTTTATTTTCATGTTTTGTGGAATGCGCGGCCCTTGATGGATACTGCAGATGCAGCCGAGTTGCTCTTGAGTTCTGCCCCTTGTCATCATCTTCTGCTCTTATTTTGTAGCACCTCCAATGTTATCCGCATCAGGAAATTGCGTTTTACTTGTATTTGAGAGCGCAATTAAAGGACTTGGCAAAGTGCCAAGGAGCCGCACGCGACAGGCGCGCTTGCAACGGATGTTATGAACGGCGGGAATCTGCGCCGTAAAAAGGCAGTGGGCGGAGCATGGAAGAATTAGCGTGTTTCACGGCCCTGTATCTCCATTCCCGGGCATGTTTGGGCGGGGGGACCACGACACATCGACATCTGGGGGGCTGATAGTCTCATACACCCTCAATGTGTATGAGCGTTGACTAGTGTCTTAAGAACTTTTGACATGGACTGAGCCTTGGAGAAACTTTCATGCTGATATGTAGGCGGAGATTACCCTCTCGGTTTCTGCCCTTCTTTATTGGCGCGTGGTCATGCCTCTTAGGTTTGCTTGGCAGAGAACGTTCACAATAAGGAAGTCTATTTCCAATGTGTCATGCTTGCCACAATTCATTGCTTCAAGAGCTTTGGTTCTTTAAGGCAAGTTGCCACGGATAAATCCCAGAGACATGTGGGATTTTTACGCCCAGCAGACAGTATAGCGATCTGAGCAGGGGCTGCGTAGCACCTTTTCCAAGTGAGGTGCCCTTATAGCGCCCTAAACAAGCTGCAACATACCGACCAGGACGCCCAAAGCGCCTGCCCGCCCACAAAAGTCCGGCTGACGATGATGCCCGTATCGCTTCAGTGTGAAGTGTAATATGAAAGTACACCACATGCAGACGCATCTACCATAGCGGTTATTGGCACGATGCCAACGGAAAAACGTCCATTGCTTCCTCGGTCGCGTAGAACAAAGGCTCTTTGCAGGTTTCTTGCACTTTTTCACTTCGCTTTTTCGTCATTTTTCCAGACACAGCTCCCTGCTACAACTCTAGACGAGTTACCGAATTAATCGCGCCTTATGTCCTCGAGGGTGGACATGGTCAAAAACGAGCATACAGGGGACTCCGCGCTAAATAGATACTAAGTCAGTCAAACGGTCTGGAAGCATGCAGAAACTCGCACAAAAGAGGAAAATTCTTCGAGAATTCTTTCAGTATACAGTCCCATCGCCTTCCGGTGAGTCCTGATGACCCCGGCGAATTAACCGCAGGTGAAATATATTGCACTAAAACGCCGTTTTTTCTGTTTTCATGCTGCCGATAGTGGATTAGGATTTATTTTCATGACATTGTTGAAAACTGCGAGGTATGTAATAATCCATTCTGAGTTGCGGAGAGGGAGTGTCTACAGATTTTGCTCAAACGCAGCAATTGTAGCGTTTCAGGTGGAGGTACATAAAACGTGCACATGAGGGAGCGCACGCCCACCACCCCCCCCCCATGGCGCAAGAGGATTGGTAACGGCATCTCGCAGAATTTTTGTCTGCTCGAATTGGCAGTCTTCCACAGATATGGAGCCCGTCACAACCGAATTCATGAAAACTCCTTCTCCAAGTCCGAGTAAGGCATACTGCTGTGGTTTTACCGCTTCGCACAAATTTCTACAGATTTTAGGTTTCACGTTACCGAGACACAAATTACTTAAAAGTTGATGAATTAGCAAAAAAATGAAATAAAAAACGAACTTGCATCGGTTACACGTCCGACTGTCGATGAAACCACCGTTCTGGCACGGAAGGGATCGTGGACAACGTGCTGAAAGTAAGGCCTCAGAATTTTCCATTTCTGAAGAAAAGCCCTACAATAGACAGTACGCACCTGCGCAGTTATAATGAAGATTCAAGACAAGAACGTCCAGAAAAGACGGTCCCTCCATTTGACCCATCGTTTGCTGCAGATTAGGATCGACAGTGGTCAGCGCAGGTATCTGCTTGAAGGATGAGAACCTGAATGGTAGAAAAATTCATGACTAAAAAACTTTGTGTCACTCTCAATTTATTCTTCACACATCATTTGGCATTTTTGTTGAATCGGTGACTTCGCGTGGTTCCCGCTGAGCGGAACGATGTGGATTCGATTACGGTTTATGCGCACATACGCATCAGGTTTCACTGTCTTGTGTGTGTGTTTGTATGTGGCAACTTTTTTTCAAGTGAAAATGGGCCGATAAGTACAGATCCGGCCTTCTAAGAATGAAAGTAGGGAAAACTGCTAGGCCAATGTAGCCCACGATACTGTCATATAAATAACCAGTCGGATCGCCCGGCTAACGCCGAGCTCTCCTCCTTCTTGGAAGCCCGGCTTCGCCGGGCTCATGCAACTGCTTTAGAGTCGTGACTAATCGCTGTCTTCTAATCAAATGAATGTAGAAACGCGCCATATGATCGCAGGGCACTTTCATAATGAAAAGTTCAAAATCTGGTCATGGATAATCGATTACTCTCCTCCCCATCTCATGACAGCCATGGATGCTTCGGTCTCCGCAGTCGCTGCGTGCTCCTGTTCAGGCGAGCGTCGGTCGCGCCAATATGGTACCCCTTCACCTCACCTATCCCCAAACTAACCTCAGCTATTCCCCGCTCAGCCACCCTACAGGTCACGCTCAGCTGCTACGCGAATAGCCCGTGCAATGGTTCTGAGTGCACTAAATGGTTGTGTTATGTTGTGGAGGGTGTTATGACTATCAAAACGCTACCACAATTTGATAATGCAACATTAATCGGTTCAGTTCCGATTGCGGTCGATCCATTTTCTTCCCATCTTATCGCAACCGTAGACGCCTTACCGCCGCAGGGCTATGTGCTCCTAATCGCGAAATCGCCGTTCTCATCTGGTATCCCCTCACCACATCATATCCCACTGACCCTATTTAACTGGCGCCCACTCCCGCACGTGGTATGCAGCCGCCACGTGAGCAGCTGGTGCAACATAGGGACACTACGCCGCCACTGTTCTTACCACCGCCTTGCTCGTGCTCACGTCCAGCTCCCAAGCGAGCAGCTCCTGCAATAGCACAGAGTCTATCACAGTGGTTGGCTTAGATAGGGGAGCTATTCACAATCCAAACAGCTTCCTAGTTCGTTGCTGTAACATGGATTAGCTTGCAGTTTTGCTAGGGGTTCTTTCCTTCTGTCTTGCCGCCTGCTCCTATCCAAGCGTACGCTACGCATCCCCTTACTGTACCCAGTTTGCCCGATTCAATCCATATGCCTCCTTCCCCTGCATGGGCTCAGATCCGACTGAGTACGCGCAAGGTGAGGATGGGAGAAGGGGGTCACTCGATACTAACTCCCACCTTTCCTCACCTCACCCCATTCCGTACTCGCCACTCCACCCCCCCCCCCTCCACCTTGCCCCTTGCACGCGCTTACGTCCAACTGCCACGCGAGCAACCCGTGCAATGGCTCGGAGTGTAGTGGTTTTCTTATATAGTGGAGAGTGTTATCACAACCAAAACAACTTAGTTCGTTACGGTAGTAACACTAGATTTGGCTTACCAGTTTTCGTTAGCGCGTTAGTTTCCTCATCAGTTGGTGTTGGCAGTTTCCTACTGAAACCGCAGCGCTACGACCCTCACTGTTTTTATACCCCCCCCCCTTTCCCGCGACCCCTTCCCATCATGGTCTCCCTCCAGCTCCGGCTGAGCACATGCACAGGAGAAGGAGGCAGGGCGACCTGGCACCCCACCCTGCCCCCGCACGAGCACACGTCCAGCTGCCACGGCAGCAGCTCGTGCAATGGCTCGGAGTGTACCGAGTGGTTGTCTTATATATGCTGTTATCACAATCAAAACATTGGATTGATACATCTGCACCGATGGGTTCCCGGTTTGGCTAGCGGTCGTTTTCTTCTTTTTCTTTCACTAACGTGTTTAATCCCGTAAAGCATTTTGCGGACGGACAGACATACAAACCGACATACATACATACATACCGACAAACCGACACACAAAGTTTCTGCTTTATAGAATGTAAGGGATTTATTCTCATTTTGATACGTTAGAAGTCGTAACGTTTTCGACCGCTGAGCTGTGCACCACTGAGCTGTGTGATTTCTAACAAGTGTTGGATGTTTTCTGAAATGTGGAAAGTGCTGGACATTGGCTGTTTGATCATCAGTAAGGGGAAATAGAGGGGGAAGTAGAAACAGCTCAAAAATGGAGGTTAGGCCAAGGGCAGGGCTAGGAGGAAGGGCCACACTCATCCTCACCAGTCATTAGCACCGTGCACGATGCTCGAGTGTATAGTCTTGTTCGCAATGGATGATAGAGCGTTTCAAGGGAGGAATGTGTTTGACGCCCCACCAGCCCAATATTTTTCCTTTCGGCAAAAGGACACTGCACCACAACGTTTGTACCAGACGTTTTCCAACAGTTATTGTCGATTACCCACTAGAATAACTGAATGAGAACGGGTTGGCGGAGCTCCAAACCCAGCTCACTGACACTTCGCAACGAACAGGCTTGCTTGGGCAGCGAAGAAGGCCGTAGTAATGCACGACAACCAAACTGATGGTAATTTTTCTTCAGAAAAAAGAACTAACTCTGTTGGAGTGTAGTGCATAACACTGCCGACGTCGTACGGTATCCCATATGTATTGAGTTCTTTTGGGCCAATCTGTAACAGTTAGTGAATAGAATTTAATCGATTCTTCGTCTTTCATCTTTCTATCGACTTTCGAGAGACTGAAAAATGAGTGAATCGCTTTGCAAGGCAGCTATGAACAGTAAAAGGGTTTCTCACTATCGCTGATTTTCCAATTGCACCCTCTTCCTGATCTTGATAAAATTGCAGGA